CCCACCGAGCTCGCGTGGTCGCGGTCGATGCACGGGAACGAGGACAAGAGCGACTTTGAGCGCAGCGCGGTGATCCGCGGCTCGCAGGCGCCGACGAACGAAATGCGCGACCCCAGTGCGCCGCTCGACCCGGCGACGGTGTACCTCCGCACAGAGCGCCAGACGCTGCGCAGGCTGCCTCGCTCGGGCGGTATCATCTTCACGATCCGCGTGTACCAGACGCCTGTGGTTGAGCTTGCCGAGGAGCCTGGTGTCCCCGGGCGGCTGGCCAGTGGTGTGCGAGGGTGGTCGGATGACGTTGCTGAGTGAGTGTTATGTTGTCGAATTGAGTGCAACGCCGTTTCTTACGGGCGAATGCGAATGGAACACTTAGGTACAAGGATCTGTTTGCGTACAAGGACATTCTGAGTTACCTGGATGAGCGGCATGCTGATCAGGTAGAGAAGGGAGTGGTGGCGGCTGACGATCGTACTGCGGTTTACCCGTTGTGATGATTCGCGAGTACGTCTCAAGGTGTACTTCGCTATTGTTGTGCACATTTATGGGAAACTAGTTTTATTTGCAAATTCGACGGAACCAGGAGAATAGCAAGCGCATGGTATACTACAGACATGTCTAAGTATAGAAGACGCGATATATGGTAACGCACACTAAAGATAAAAACTTGGTCGCTACTGACGTCACATGTGGGCTTGTTGCTTCCTCTTAATTGGCTGTGTTCCCTGACCACAGTAGCGGCTGATAGTCAAAGAACACAAGAGAGCCACCGGAAAGGTTTCAAGTACATTGACCGGCTCTGAACTAAGAGTGGTCCTCGGTCGAATATGTATTATCATGAAGACTGCTGCAAGGCTCCGAGCCAGCCTGGTGTGTGTGCGAATTCAAGAGAAGTGGATGTCGTGAACTGAGATGCTGAACACGACAGCAAGACAGATACCAGAGTTGGGCGACCCATACTATATGCGTGAGTGCATATTTGAAGACCGCCAAGGGGCTGCAGAAAGTATTGAGATGTATGATCATCTAGGTGGGAGTGACTGATACAGAGCGAGTCTATCCCCCGAACTAGCCTGGCTGTCAATTGGTATGGAGGGGTCTGGGGATTGGGGCGGAACAGCCTGGACAAGGCGAGATATCTAAGACAGTGCGGGTCCGAAAAACGGAATAGAGCGAGCCGCCGCGTATTGTAAGGCCTCACCGACGTCGGAGAACGTGCGCGCCCGAACAAATGAGTTACGCTGAATGATCAGTATAAGGGATGAATGTTGGGTTTGCCAGTGACTCGCTGTACTTCCACCTGTGCACCAGTTTCTGCTAGTTTCAGAGTCCTCATATCGTAATGGTCCACTTGCCTGGGTGAGACAAAGAGGATGTATTGCCGCTTGCCAGTCGGGGAGAACTCGTAGGTACGTACAGAGACCCGTTACGCGAGTCGTGGGGCGCGATTAAATGACGGCAATTGGAAGCGGGGACTGGGACTGGATGTGGCCAAACAGGAGCTGGTGACGAACGACGGGGAGGATGGCGGTGTGCGGCTGGCAGACTGGAGTCTGGCAAGGCCGAGGGGAAGAGCTCCACACCGGGGCCGAGGACAGCTGTGGTCTAATCACGGGCCACGCTCCGCCTGGCCTGCAGCTCTTGCTCGACGCCAGGCGCGTCCTCCTCCCCCCTCTCGCCACCATCCCCGGCGATGCCCAAGCCCACTCTCCTCCAGTCGCTCCTGGGCCGACCGTCGCAGTCGTACTCGTTCCCGCCTCAGAAGGACTATCATTCGTCCAGGACCGACCTCTTCCGTGCCGCGTCCACGAGCACCGCCGGAGAACTCCACCCTGGGACAGCTTCCGTCCATTCTCTCAAGCCCTCGCCCCCATCCTCCGTCCTTTCGCAGTCCTCTGCTCGTCCTTCTTCTCGCCGTGTCCGCACTCTCCGTCGTGCGTCCACCGGGTCTTCTGTCTCCTTTGCCCCTTTGCCCGAGGTGAGCCATTCTTTCCGCTCGCGCGCCCCCTCGCTTAAATGCATGTGCCATGACGAGCTTATCGTCCACAATTAAATTCCCCTCTGATGTGCTTCCTCGTCTTTAGCCTAGCCGATCCGTTATCCGCCAACCCCCCTCGCCAGGCCCGTCTCAGCAGAGGTTCACTTCTCAACCTCATGCCCCGTCTCTAGCTCCTTTTATAATTCCGAATCAGCCCGCCCCATCTTCAGATCAACTCTCCGTTGACTTCACCCTCGTTCAACCTGCCATTGTTGCCCCATTGGCGGGCACCGTCAAGGAGAGCCTGGGCGACCACGAGGGCGACGCCTTCTACACCCCTAGCTCGTCTCTGATCCCATCTCCCAGTGCCACGCTCGCTCCCACAGTCATGCTACTCGAGCCTCAAGCTTTGGCCTCTGCCCTTTTGCCCCTCCGTGATCCCATGGATCTGAAGGTCCCCGTTGTCTCTACAGAATCCCAAGATGTATACGACACGGACATATCTATTACTCCTGGCCCACTGTCTCGCTTTCCCTCTGAACTCGACTCTGCGTCCGTGTCCCGTACCGCGTCCGACTCGTCTCTATCATCCTACTCTGGTGTGTCCATTTCGATCTCCGAGCAGGATGCCACATCCCTATTCGACTCTGGCGCGACGACCTCCACGCGTATCACCACCCCTGCTACGTCCGACCGTGACCCGCCCAAGTCCGATGAGGATGTAGTTGAAGCTATCACGATATTGTCCAGTTCGTCTACACGTAAGTCACGGCTGCATGCTGCAAACTTATCTCCCAGCTCCGTGGAAGCTTCTTCAAGTGAGCCCATAATTCGCCGCCGTTCTCAGCCTTTGCCTGCGCCTCGCCCAGATGAAGATTGGGCCAAGGACGTCCGATGGCTTGTACCTACCTCTCTCTCTGCAGCCCCTGTACCACGTCCGAAATCTACTAGGTCCCCTACCTCCTCTCGGAGACGGTCCAGGCCTTTGCACCCGGACCTCCTTCCACCTGCGCCTCAGCTAGCGATCCTTCCTCCGCCACACCAGTTGGATCGACAGTCTTTTCCTGACATTCCGACCTTCACCATGCCAGTCGCTGTACCTCGCCCCGTACGCACACGCTCGAAAGAGCCTCGTTCCAGTCGACACTCGCATCGGCAATCACGCGGACGAATGTCGGCACTGTGGGAAGAGGATGAGAGCGAATATAGCACGGATGCAGGTGCAAGTAGCGCCGAGGTAAGCAGGGCAAGCACTCCTGCACTGACGCATTCTGGAGATGGATCTGCCCCCGCGAGCTTCAACGCGTCGCGGAGCGACACCCCTCCTCCGGGGTGGGCTAGCTCGGCGAGCGCGCATATGGGACCAGGGATTGCCGACAGCTTGGAGTCGTTACAGCTCATAGCGTCCATGTCCGAATCTGAGCTGATAACGCAGAGGCGGATGGACTCTCCACCATCATCACCGGTCGATTCATCACCAGATGCCAAACTGCAAAATTACGCACTCCAGCGCCAGCATTTCCACTCGTCGTCCACGTCCACAGTTCCTGTGTCGGGGTCTCCATTGAGTGCCCCAGGTCGTACGACGTCGCCTCTGGTTGGCGTGATGGCTGGCAACAACTCGTTCCCAACGTATTCCATCCCGGCGCCATTCCCGGATTCTGACGGTAGTCCGAATACAGGTTACACCGGTCTTGTGCTCCCACGAGCGAGTTATACATCCAAGGATGGGAAGCCCCTCGCTGATGGACGCATAGACCTCGTGCGCTCTGGCCGGGCTCAGACAAGTATGGCAACGATTGAGGTGGTCCAGGGTGCAGCGGCATTCTCCCCGCTGACAAAGACGCGCTCGCGCCTCACGCGCAGTTTTTCGCTGAGTATTGGCAAGGATAGGCGGAAGAGTCAAAGGGACAGTGTTACGCCACCGCATTTGAGAGGCACGATGCCGCTGTCGGTCGCGTTCACGGCGCATATACCTCCGCCATCGTTCGTGCCGCCTTCACATATTCTCGTGCAGGTGTTCGCTGTTGGCCTGGACGGGTTAGACTCGCTTATAGTGCAGGAACGAGCAGCGCAGCGCGGTGCTGGCGGCTCAGTGGGCAGGACGAAGAACAGAGGGTTCATTCCTGGACGCAGTTTTGTGGGCAAGGCTGTGGAGTGTGGGTTTGAGGTCAGCCGGGAGGTGTGCAAGAAGGGCGAATGGGTCATCGGGCTGCAGGACGTGAAGAAGGTGGGTTACGATAAGCCCAGTGCATTCCGGGTTTTACTGATTTCATCTTCTGGCTTAGTGTGGTGCGCTTGCGGAGTTCGTCCTCATTGAGCGGCACCGTGTCTTCCGGTCTCCGCAGCCCCGGGCGAGGTCGACCAACCTATTCCCTCCACGGCGACGCGGCCACGGGCACACACGGTCTCTTTCATTGCCGTCTGCGATTGCGTCAGGCTCCGCGACGCACCAACCCCATGCGCCGTCTCCCCTTGCCCCTCCGGCCCCTCTCACTCTTGAAGAGCTCGCCCTGTTGCCCCTGTGTGGCGTCTCCGCACACCGCGCTGTCCGGTCATTCGCTGATATTCTGGCTTATCGTTCTGGCAAAGGTCGGGACCGTCCCCATGTCCTCGTGCTCATGGGGCACGATGGGCCCGGTGCAATGGCTGTGCAGATGATAGGTCGACGGACGGCACACATATGCGTCCAGGTGCCCGAGTCCGCTGTCCGGGAACCCGAGGCACAGACGGATTCCTCGGAAGATAGTGTCAAACCTTCTGGATCAATCGCACTTCAGAGAGTAGAGGCACGCATTCGCGCATGGGGTGCGGAGGAAGTATGCGTCGGCGAGGCTCTCGGTGTGCTGGAGCGGTTGGCAGACGAAGGGCGCGGGTTTGATGCAATCCTCGATACAGTCGGCGGCGTGCATATATGGGAAGCATCGCAGAGGCTCCTGGCATTTGTCCCGTCGATGGCTGCGTCACAGTCGGCGCCGACGTTATCGACCATGTTTGCGCCATCTGAGGACTCGCCAGACGGGGAGACAGAGGAAAAAAAGTCGAAGGGGGGCTCGTCTTATGCTCAGTTCACTACTCTCGTCGGGGACGTGCCCTCGCGGGCGGTTCCAAAGGCCCAGGACAACTTGCGCTCCGGCTTGCGCTCCCTCCGACGCGCCATGTCAACCAGCTCGCCGTCTAAGGCTAGTGGCTCGGCAGGGAGGACTTTGAGCAGCGGCAGGAAGAAGACGAAGCGGACAGTGGGATATGCGTGGGTGAGCGTTGCGGCTGATGTGGACGATGAGGGAGAAGACGTTCGGGATGCCCTGGGAACGGTGGTTGAGATGGTTGAGGACGGCACGATTCGCCCATGGATGGGCCACGACGATGATGGCGAGGAGCGGTCTTTCCCACTCGAAAGTGCGCCCGAGGTATTCAGACGCGACGCGAATGGGCCCAAGGGCGTCCTGGTGGACGGCGGGACATGTGTCGTACGAATTGGCGCATAGTCTTGGAACATTGCGGACAGGATTCAACGGACAGGATTCTGTTATGCTCTCGTACTTGGATAGAACATTTTTGGTTCGGACTCTTGGATTTGTACGGCTGGTCACTGAAGATTTGGCACTCACATTCTACTCCTTTTTTCAGTTCGCTCTTTTGTCTCTTTTCGATTTGCCTGCTCTTTTTCTGCGCATCATTCACCACACTTGCGCCCCTGTCACCGAGGATATATAGGCTCAAGTTCTCATTCCTTTCTGACACCTTATTTATCTTTTAACTTCTCCAACTATAGAGTGCATCGTAACGAATCCCTACGAGTAATCTTAATGACGCATGAATGTATGTACATACTTGGATCGGATGTACTATATGAACTTGGAACAGTTACATTGCTACATACATTCCGCTTAAAAGAATTTTTTAAAGTCATATGCCTCCTCCCCCTTCTCGCCGGAAGGCACGACGGCTTTCTTCGAAGCTGTATTAGCAACCTTCTGTGCTGGGATTTTGGTTGGGGCCGCTTTCGCCTTCTTCGCAGGGGCTTTGGCGGGTTTAGTCTTCACAGGCATGTCCGCCTTCTGCTTGAGTTTACGAGCAGCCGCTTGTGAGCCCGCCGCACCTGCTTTGGAGCGTGCCTGCTTGGACTCTTTCGGGTCAGCGGCGAACGCGACCTTTTTCACTGGACGAGGTGGAGGAGCAGACGCCTTTGCGATCCCTCGCTTGCGTTTACCAATTGGTGGTAGAGGTTCTTCCTCTTCCTCATCCTCTTCCTCCTCTTCCTCGTCATCTTCCTCGTCATCATCTCCCGCGCTATCCTCTTCAAGGTCAACAGACGCATCGTCGTCCACCCCATCTGCTTCGTCCTCGTCTTCGTCATCCTCGTCCGCATCACTCTCGCCGTCATCGCTGTTCTCAGAATCCCTCCAGGGCGCATCGAGGGCCACCTTCCTGTCCTCGATCTTACCGGTTATGAGCCTGATCAATCCGGCAGCCTTGCGAAGATCCTTCCGCATGGAAAGCCTCGCAAGTATCTCGTTGTCCTTCACATACCATTCCGCCGGGGGAGCCGTCTCCGAGGGCGCGGAGGCCGGGGCGGGGGGGACCGCGTACCTGGGGAACGTCCCCGTGCTCCAGTCGCGCAGCACAATGCGCGCAGCGCCGGCGAGGTCCGGCACCCCACCCTGCATGGACCGCCACTCGTCAGACGATGAGAACGGGGGTACGATCGTCGGAAACGACGAACCTTCTTAATCAGCGCGTGCGACCGTGCGACGCCGGACAGGAACGCGGTCGGATCGCCCTCTGCGAATGCGGGCAGGTTGTAGAACAGCATGAGGTCCTCCCGCGTTGCGCGCGCGACGAGTTCGGACACTAGGATCGCGATTCAGTGGGGATGGGGTGATTCGGGCAGGAGGTACCAACCGACTGGGGCTGGGTCCTTCAGCCGCTCCATCCGTCCTCTGCTCCTCAGCAGGATGTCCTGTGCGCGGAGACGTTCCGACTCTTCTGCGGAGTGCCCTGCGGGTGCCTGCCATGCGAGTCCGGGCGTGTCGATTAAGCGGACTTGTGTCCCCTCAATGGCCAACGTGACTTCTTGAGCATGTGTGGTGGTGGTCGGGCTGTCAGTTCCCGTCGACGATGGGTTGTACGTCGGCAACGCGGCCTTTCCCAGGAGGGAGTTGATGAATGAGCTCTTGCCGGTCTGAGAAACAGATGAGCTCGCGCACTTTAGGGAAGAGGATCAACAAACGTTTGTCACTCCGACCACTGCGACGACCAGAGGATCGTCGCCCCCCTTCTTTTTCGCAGCCTGACTGAGGAAAGCCAGAACCGCGTCGACACCCCATGCGTCGTCGGCTCGAGCCTTGCCCTTACCCTTAGCAGTAGGCTCCGGTGTGGTTGACAAAAACGCAGACGCCGAGCGGAAAATAACAGTCGGATGCCGACTACGCAGCGTCGCGGCCCACGACGAGATCGCTTCGCGCGGACACGCCTCTGTTTGATGTTCGTACATGAGAGAAACACCAACGAAAAGTCCATATTGGACGCACCGATCTTGTTCAGGACATACAGCACGGTCTTGTCCCCCATCGCTTCCTCAATGTGCGAGCTGCGGTAGCTGAGGGGGTCTCGGGCGTCCAGCACCTGCACCACGACGTCCGCGAGCTCCAGGACCGCGCCCAAGGTGGGCAGGTCCCGGTTCAGCAGCACGGGCACCTGCTCCTCTTCGACGTCAGCCGCGGCCCCGGCGTCCGCTCTGGGCTTTCCCGCCTTGCGCTGCAGCGCCGCATCGACGGACCCGACGCCGTCGAACGCCGTCTCCGAGCCCTCCGCGTCCGAGCTCTCCGCCTGAGCGGCACCCTGTGCCTTCGCAGCCCTCCTCTCCTCCTTCCTGCGCTCCTTCTCCTCGGCGGCCTGCAATGCGGTCAGTACAGACAGCCCAGCCGCGGCAGCCAGAGGCGGACTCAACTCGTCTACGCTCCTCGGCGACCTCTGCGAGGATCTGGTCCTTGTACGGGAAGTTGTTGGGGATACCCGGGTCCTTGGCCTGTTCTGCGCGCGCCGCCGTCAGCACCCCGCGAGAGCCAGAAACGACGGGCCACGTACTGCTCTTCCACTGCGTGTCCTTCTTGGCCGCCTTCTTGTTTTTCTTCCGTGTCTCCGCGGCCTTGTGCTTGATCTTTTCGCGCTGGTTGGTCGTTCCTCGCTTGGTCGTCTCTGCCACCGCATGTCAGCATTCTGCGAAATGAACAGACGCAGTACTGACTCTTGCGTATTCGGGGCATGTTGGTCGACGAAGGAGAGCAGAGCCAATCAAATGCGGGCGCTGTGAAATCTAGTTTATGGCCAAAAAAGGTCCGATCTCTTTCGATCGCATTTCGAGTGCGTGGGCGCTCTCTCTAAGTCAGGAAAATGTGCATCTCAACGGTCTCAGGTAGTTTGAGCGGACAGCAAGCGGACATAAGATTGCGACTAGATGGATATGTACAAAAGCAGGTGATAAATGAACAATTTGCTTCTCCAACCGCCGCACACCAAACAAATGCGATTAATGCCACAAGGGGACGCAATCAACATTCCCAACATTCCATCATCAAACTTCCAGGATGGATGTGCACGCGGCGGCGACGATCCTCTCTATTCACGGACGTACAGCGACGAATGTTGCCAAATAGGACCAGAACTTGCTCGGCAGACAGGCGCTTTGGGTATCGACATTTAAATCAATCTTCAGGCTCTTCAGCGACTGTATTCTACAACTTTCTTCTGTTCTCGGAATGTCTTCAAGAACAAGCATTCGCGTACAATGATGTCTATCGTTCCGTCAGCTGTCAGCGCCATCATATACGTACGGACGCCGGAAGGCAGTGCACAATGCAACGTTCACTCCAAATGTGGAACTTCCTGGCTTTCACAGCGCTTGATAAAATGTCCAAGGTGCCACTTCCGATCATACATGGGAAGCGCCTTGCTTGCACTTGCAAACTTGAAACTAATGTAGGACGTAGAAAGACAGCGGACAGGCGAGATTACAAGATATTCGAGGCGTACGGAAGCAAAACTTGACACGTTGAGTTTTCATTTTGTGCTATTGAGAACGGAGCAACGCATGACCAGACGGAGAAAAGCAATACTTGAGGAAGATTGAGGAAAATTGACAAGGCTTTGCAAAGAGACCACGGCGATACTCTTCAGCTTCAGTAGTTTGACTCTTTTTAGCCTTCGCCCCGAGCCTGCCTGTAGGCTACTCTTTACACGATTTCAAACCACTTCCACGTCTTAAGAAAGCCGGGAAATCCAGCCACCTCACCAACGAGGCCCATCCCCGTTGGAATGGGGCAAGGCGCTGGAGGATGGGCCATCGTAATCCCTGCCTCGTGCCGGGCTGCTGCCTCTGGGAGGGCTCCTTGAGTAGCTCCTGCGCCTTCTGTACTCAGGCGAGTAGCGACTTCGAGGAGGGGGACTACGACGGTCACGCCAATCCCTGCCATCCCGTCCATAGCCGTCGCGATCGCGATCATCGCGACGGTAAGGCTCCCTTTCACGACGATCACGGTAGGAATCACGATGGTCGTCCATCCGATCGTCTCGACCACCCGGGTACGTGTCCCGACCGCGGCGGCGACGGTGACCCATGTATTCTCCCGGAGTCGGCGCATGAGGCCGGTCAGTAACCGAGTAGTCGACCCGAATACGACGGCCGTTGAGGTCCTGCACGACTCATGAGCACATCAATGCGGCGGGTATGATTTTCTACGCACCACTCCATTCAGCTCCTTGATGCATCGACCCGCCTCTTCGACGGTGGACATAGAGATGAAACCGAAACCTCGCGAACGGTCCGACTGCCACAATGTCAGCTGGCGTTGCGACACCAAGTGCGACGAACACTCACTCTCTGATCATAGACAATGACGACCTTCTCGACGCGGCCGAAACGACTAAACTCGTCGTCCAGGTCACGTTCCGTGGTCCTAATGCTCAAGCCAAACACACCCAACACGTTGGATGGATTGGGCGCCTGCTAAGCCAGGTCAGCACAGCTGGCCAAAGACAAAAAAAATAAGGCCGACGAACAATTGGAGCATGAACGGGACGACGGGGAACCGGAGACCTGCGGAAGGTGGAACCTCGAGCTGGACTGCGGGAGCGAGAGCGGCCACGGGGAGGGGCCAAGTCGCGGTCGCGCGGGTCGAGTGGAGGGCCCGAAGACGGCGGCGGGGGCTCGTTGTACGCGTCCGTGTACGGGTCGACGGGAGGGGCTGTTGGCTCTGCGTACTGTCGCACGCAAAGACAGGAATGACACGCCCATTGTCAGCCACAACAGCAGTGGGACCGGTGACGGGGCAGACTCACCATGGTGGTTGCAGTTTGCAAGCTGTTTGGCGGTGTTTACGAGTGGCAGCGCTGCAACTTTGAGCTCCGCGAG